CTTCCGAAAGGTAAATGTTCTACGGCATGTCAAACAGACTTGACAGCTGATGAAATAGACTACTTAGTAACTGACCTGGAAGAGTACAGGAGGGAGAAGATAGTTGCATATATCTGGAAGGTGACTTCTGGAAATATCGAGAGGTTCCTACTCCAGTTCGATTTCAATATGGATGCTGGGTCTGGCAAAACACCCTCGTCTGTGGCAAGTAATTCGGCCATATGATTTTCATTTTCACTTTCGGGAGCTTCATTGAAGGAGCATTAACGCAAGCTCAACCAACTCCGCCTTTCTTTTACACTTTCCTTCCGATGATGTTTGTATCCCTCTTCCTTGAAGGAAGGTTCGCAACCACGGCAACTTTTGACGCTGAAAGTATTGTAGATTGATCTCACCTTTTTTTTTTCGACGTGGACATGACAACGATGATTACTTCGATTCACTTTCAACTCGAAGAAACTACGAATTTACACTAGAAAAACGATAATAATCCAAAAAAGCAGTTTCTGCTCGAAGATGTGAACATCGAAAGTTCGATTCGAATGAATTCTGTTCCCCGGAGCCTCGCTTGGGTGTTCAAGTTTCGCTACCAGTCTCTCACGTTGAAATATATTGAAATTGGTCTATTTCGTTCGTCATTATTCCTGGAATGTTTTGGCGAAATTTCACGAAAAGCAGTCAAATCTACATACCCTATAAATTCGCTCAAAGTGGATGAATTCCTCTCAAAATAAAATGCGAGATTAATTTTGGGTCCTAAAGGTTTGTGAACAACTAGCGCCACACATTATCTCGCCTCCTGAAACCGCGAACAGTTGGGAAGACGGGACCTTCTGGCGTCATTGATCAAGATTTTCCCGGGAAAAGTATCGCATAGCAGTCACGTTTTTTTTTAAATTGTCAAAGAAAAAGCCCGCGGCAAAAAAAGGTAAAGCTGGAGAAACTGTTGAAAACCAAAACGGCGAATCGACAGACAGCTTAATTATAATACCCTTATCGCCGAAATGCGGAGTTCCCTCGAGTAGGATTATTCATGATTTCATACGATTTGAGGCGATTGCCTATGTTTTGTATCAAGGCCGGTACTTGCTTATTGAAAGGAAACTTCGTTTTTAACCTCATGTACGACAAATGTAGATTTGATGGCGACTTCTTTGCTCGTAATTTGGATGCCAGCGTGAAGAGGGGTGTCAGGACGGTTTTTTTTTTCCCGACAAAATGGTGCCATTACTCTCCTCTTTGGGCCTGTTTTCTTTTTATTTGCCCAGGGGTTCCTCTCTAAGTTTGATTTCTGTTTTTTTAGCCATGAAAAAAGACTTTCCACGAGCAGAGAACTTTCACGTGTAAATTTTGCCAAGTGCGCGGTGTAAACAAAATAGGCAAATGACATGAAATTGCCGCGAATAGCCCCCAGGGGGTTCGCCCACTTACGAGATTATGACACCCTCCTGATTTATTACCTTTTATTTGAAAATACGCCATATTAACCATATAAGTGAACAAACTCCAACTAACTTCTACTTTCAACAAACTACTGCGAAAACTTCAAAACTAGTTTCGTCTACGACCTCGTCAGTTGATGACAAACAAAAACTAAAAATTTGAAAAATTTTTGAAAAAACGCACACGTCGTGTAGTAACACACGAAAAGTACGTATATGAGAACGATCCTTCGCAGTAAAGCACTATTTGAGCAATAGTGGAAATCAGACCTGAAAAAAATTTCAGGCCTGTACAGGATTCGAACCACTGACCTCTGCGATACTAGTGCAGCGCTCTACCAATTGAGCTAACAAGCCAACTGGGAGCAGGCCATCAAATTAATTCGATATAAACCCGTAGATGATAAATCAAACAACAACAAACATATGAAACATATGTGTGAACTGCGGTTATGAGACGTATATGAGAACGATCCTTCGCAGTAAAGCACTATTTGAGCAATAGTGAAAATCAGACCTGAAAAAAATTTCAGGCCTGTACGGGATTCGAACCACTGACCTCTGCGATACTAGTGCAGCGCTCTACCAATTGAGCTAACAAGCCAACTGGGAGCAGGCCATCAAATTAATTCGATATAAACCCGTAGATGATAAATCAAACAACAACAAACATATGAAACATATGTGTGAACTGCGGTTATGAGACGTATATGAGAACGATCCTTCGCAGTAAAGCACTATTTGAGCAATAGTGAAAATCAGACCTGAAAAAAATTTCAGGCCTGTACGGGATTCGAACCACTGACCTCTGCGATACTAGTGCAGCGCTCTACCAATTGAGCTAACAAGCCAACTGGGAGCAGGCCATCAAATTAATTCGATATAAACCCGTAGATGATAAATCAAACAACAACAAACATATGAAACATATGTGTGAACTGCGGTTATGAGACGTATATGAGAACGATCCTTCGCAGTAAAGCACTATTTGAGCAATAGTGAAAATCAGACCTGAAAAAAATTTCAGGCCTGTACGGGATTCGAACCACTGACCTCTGCGATACTAGTGCAGCGCTCTACCAATTGAGCTAACAAGCCAACTGGGAGCAGGCCATCAAATTAATTCGATATAAACCCGTAGATGATAAATCAAACAACAACAAACATATGAAACATATGTGTGAACTGCGGTTATGAGACGTATATGAGAACGATCCTTCGCAGTAAAGCACTATTTGAGCAATAGTGAAAATCAGACCTGAAAAAAATTTCAGGCCTGTACGGGATTCGAACCACTGACCTCTGCGATACTAGTGCAGCGCTCTACCAATTGAGCTAACAAGCCAACTGGGAGCAGGCCATCAAATTAATTCGATATAAACCCGTAGATGATAAATCAAACAACAACAAACATATGAAACATATGTGTGAACTGCGGTTATGAGACGTATATGAGAACGATCCTTCGCAGTAAAGCACTATTTGAGCAATAGTGAAAATCAGACCTGAAAAAAATTTCAGGCCTGTGCGGGTCAGTGGTTCGAGTCAGGTCAGTGGTTCGAGTCAGGTCAGTGGTTCGAGTC